CTAAATAGATTGTAAATTCTATACGTAGCCTTAGACGCGATCTCCTTATAGTGTTTATCAAAAGAGAGCTTATTGTCAAATCTAAAGCCAAGATCGCGTACCTCAGTAACGAGTTTCAATTCCTTATCGCCCAACTTGTAGTTTGGGTTTACTTTGGCCTTCCCTATGGAAAAGATTTTCGTTTTTTCATCAGACAAAGGCAGACCCCATTTAACAGACCAGGAGTCAATAGCATTAATCGCGGCTTGCACGTCATTTCGGTCTTGCGAACTACCAACAACCTTGTAAGCCTTTACATCGTCAGCATACATCGAACAGGTTATTCCTAGACTCGAGACTACGCTTGGCAAATCACACGTGTAGACCAAGAACAATAACGGGGACAGAACGCCTCCCTGTGGCACCCCACTGGTAATCGTGAAGGACTTAGACAATGCATTGCCAACGCGGACCTGATAACTACGATTATTCAGAAAGGAGCGGATCCAATTAATGACTGTGGGATGGAAGCCAACGAATCGCAACTTGCAAACAAGATGATTTATAGGAACTCTATCAAAGGCCTTGGCAAAATCAAAATAGACAACGTGGACTTCATTTTTTTCATCTAACGCCTCGGTCCAATCATTCAAAGATTTAAGGAGAGCAGTTTCCACGGAGCGGCCCTTACAGAAGCCGTGTTGAGACGCAGGAATGATGCTGTACTGCTCAAGATGGGCAAGCAATCGCCGTGCTGAAAAATTTTTCGAGCTAGTCTTATCTCGAGAATTGAAAACGTCGAGTAATTGTCGAGGAGAACGAGTTTTACTTGTGAGTTTTCGCTCTTTGGAAGACCATAACTTCCTTCATTTATGAATATTTAGAGAAGAGGAAAAAAGCGTTGTAAACTAGAAGATTGGAGCTTTCCGATAAGCATCAAAATTGCTTCAAATGTCCCTAGTTCGCGAGAAATCTGCGTCGAGGAAATGTCAAGGAAATTTTCGAAGCCACTCGAAAACTCTATTACTCCCTTGCCGTAGTAGGGAACTTCTTTGAACACCTTCAAAATGCTTCTGTACACGTCAGTTCCAAATTGAAAATGATGCACTTGGCGCAGATCCATTCCGTTCTGGTATGCGCCATGCAGTGACCCCACTCGGAGTCATTTGAAAGGTGTCTTGTCAAAAGGACAACTTACTCGTGCAAACAGAAGGTGTTCTTAGTCTCGACTAATCAGAATCATAGTATAGCCTGGTCATTCCTCTATTTACGTTGCTTCCTTTCCGATCCTGTTTTGAGATATTTGTGGCTGCAGTATTTGATGATGCCAAAAAGGTTCGAATCTCCCCGTATTGAATTCTTTACTCATATTCTGCTCCCCCACTGATAGGTTCTCGAAGCGTGTACATTAATTTGGAGTAGACAGTCGCTGTCCATTCCTCACGATACATTTGGAGGACGCGTTACCTTACGACTATATCGTCAGACTGATCATTACCCATCAGACCAACACGGCCACTTTCCATTTAAATTTTATTTCCAGTCAGTTGTAAGATATCATTCGCATTCGCATTATGCTAACTAAAACCAAGATTGAGGATGACAGCGAATGAGTGGAGAGCAGCACCATTATTCGGCGATGAATGGTCCTACGACCCCCCTTCGCATCTCAGTGGAGCAAATACGACCCCTGGTCGAGGAATTCCTCGACCGTTATTCACCCTGGTAAGGTATGTTTAATGAAATGGAAGGGGATGAAATCAGGGGTAAGCCAGAAGTAGACCTGAGCACTTGGAAAAGAAGCTCAAATATTATACCGGATGAAACCAAACATGGGTGACTCCATAGTTGGACAATGGAACATGGTTATCTAGGAATGCACTATGAGGAGTGGATAAGCAAGACGGAAGTTGATGTGTCGAAGAAGTCAGCTTTGTAGTCATGCTGCCCAAAAAGTGGGAATGTGCCGCCAATTCGCCTAAAAGCAGGCATCGATTTTTATACTGTTAAGCGGAAGCGTTTAATGTACCTATACAGGCTAGAACCGTCACCCGAATTCACGAGTTTGCGCTCAAGGTTTGAATAAAACTTTGCGATGGCCTTATCAAGTTTTTTACTGAGCGCACGGTAAGAAGCCCAACAGGATTCGCTCCTCTCTCTAATAGCATTGTCCCAAAGTTTGTTGCGCCGTGAAACCATCCTGACCAAGTACGCAGGAAGATGTAATCGACCGCGTTTGCTTCTGCGATACGGCACAAACTTATTAATTACATCGTGCAAAATGGCAATAAACATTTCATACTTTTCATCGACGGACTCCACGGATGCAAAAGAGCCAATCCAATCAACTTCAGAAAGGTAATGACCTATTGCCCCATAATCAGCGGCTTTAAAATCTCTCACTTCACAATAACTGAAGTCTGACATTGAAGCGTTTATCTGAAACTCAATAGACGCGTGATCACTACTGCCAACAGGCGGCATAACCACAACTTTTTTTACAAGTGAATCAGAATTGCAGAACAAAAGGTCTAAACAGGAGTCACCTCGGGTAGGGTTCTGAACAAATTGTTTGAGATTGTGTGACCGTAACATAGCGATCATTTCATTCGAAGGAGTATCGGTAGGGAAATCGTTTTTCCAGTTGAGATCTGGCATGTTAAAGTCACCGAGAACGACAGTGTGACCGTTGTAAGAGGTAAAATCGCTGATAGCTTTGATTAACAACGAAGTCGCATAAGCACTACAAGACGGAGTTCTATAAACCAATATGAACCTGACCGATGAGGTTCAAGAAAAGCATCAATGACCAGAATTTCATAAGCGTCTTTAGCCGACTCTTTAAAAACTAAATTATATGTGATAGATTGTTTGAGGAGAATAAGAACGCCTCCGCCTCTCTTATAAGCGCGATCGCACCGAACGTAATTATACTGAGAGTTCACGGCACCCAAGAGCGAAGGTAATTCAACGCTAGAATTCAGCCAAGATTCCGATAGAAAAACCAGGTCAAAATTTTTTTGAAGTAAGAGCATGATAACATAATTGCTGTTTTTCACGAATGATCTGACGTTAGACAACATGCACGTAGCCCTGAGACCACGAGGCCGATGAATTATGAGAGGTTTCCCGCACGAGCATTGCTAGACATACTATTTGCTACAGCACTTTGATCAGAAGCACAATTAACTGCAAAAGAAACCGGAGACTTACTAGCGTTCAGATCATGAGGAGACGACGGGTTGCCCAGACGTTCCCTACGCCTGCGCTCCCTCTCTTCCTTAGTTAGGGAAGGGCGTAGGTAAACCCCCTATGAGAGAAGGAGCGCAGGCGTGGCGCTCTCTGGACAGCCTGCCGTTGGAATCTGCTAGTAGGCAGAACGACTTTTAACAGTCTGGGTCGATTTGGGTTTGGGATGCCCATTCTGTAAACAGCAGACGGTAAGCACTCTATATCTAAGAAACTCAACACAGAACATGTGGATTGGTAGTCGTAGTTAGCTCTCTCAACAGAGTTCGGAGATCGATATTCTGGCACCCCTGCTATGACGATCGAACGATGGAGATCAGCATCGATTGCGGTAGGGGTACTGGAAGTGATCACGCGAGTATTTCCATCAACATTTCCTTGAATTGACTCGGAGAGGCTGTTGGACGACATCAAAGTTCTGAGCTGATTCCTTAAAGACAAGTTTTCCTCCTTCAATGATTTGTTTTCGGCTAAGATCTCACGACACTGGCGGGCCAGGTCCGCCAATTCCTTCTTCGTATCGATCAAAACATCAACGAGTACCTTGCAATAAGGCGGCAAAGCTTCGTTTGAGAAAAGCTCTTTCAAACCTTCGGCATGAGCTGGCCATTGTGGCGATAAGTCCAGGCGCGATCGCTTCACTGGGACCGACGATGACCGCGATGGAGTAGTTGCCATTGAATAAACAGATTCTAGTATGACAGAACAGAATAAAACTAGTAGGCGACAGCAGGCGGCCTTTTGTAGTGCACAGGACAGCAAACAGTACAAGCGGAGGCTGTAGGAAGTGAGTAAAGTAGACGGAAATCTGACTCAAGTACAGCCACGGCAGAACCGACCGCACAGGGCGCCTGATCGATTAAGACTGACATCATTTCACTTGTAACATCATTTTAGATTTCTCAAGTTGAAGCCTACACTATGTGAACTAAATCAAATTGTTTGGTGGGATTCTTACTGGATGTGGATTGTACGACATGCCAGCTTTTCTGTGGTGTAAAACTCACTTAGAATTTAGATTTGGACTTGAGTGCTTCATAATATTAGGCGCTCCAGAGTTTATGTTCATTTGCGACCCCGGAATTGTAAATGCATGTATCTCGGCATAAACCAAACCTTTCGAGCTGATTAAAAAACCATTCGAATGCGCGAACTTTCTCTATAAGAACCGTTCTACTGGGAACGTTTGTTCAGAATGCTGGAGCTGTTGAGGCGATGAACTGAGGGAAGGTCGTTTTGGCATCATGTTGGGTTTTGATGCATTTCTCTCCAAGGAAGCTATCGAGATCGTCGCTGTGGAGAGGAGGCGGCTGCCGCCGTAAAATAATTTGTACCGCCGCCGCTATGCACACG